TCTTCTTCTTCTTTTTTCAATGTTGACAATCATGTTGTATCTAATTGTTTTCAGGCAATTTGAAGACCGCACCATTTACATAATTTAGTGTAATTTTAAAAAATTAATTTTTTTAAATAATGACCCTAAAACTTAAAATTTAAATTTAATTCACAAAATAATAATTTCTTACTAATAGATAATTAAGTCTTAAAATTATTAGTCCTCTTACATGAAGCACAGTCAAAATGGATATAACCTAATTTTCCTCAATTCAATTCAATGGGACTCCTACCTTCTGTAATTGTGCTGTAGGCTTAAGAATTCGGACTTCAAGAGAACAGGGCCTGTTTTGAAATCAAAGAATTCTGTTTCGTTTTTCATCTCCAAATCTAAGTTTTTATTTTTTTGGTCTCCTCCTAGGTTCGAATTCTAAAGTGGTCAAGCGGACCATGTTTTCCCTATTTAGGTACAACCGTGCAAATTTCATAGCAATCCAATAGCATATATACATAACATCAACTAATCAACAGCTTAAAAAGACAACAAAATTTCTAACATATCTCAATAAAATTTAAATTAAATTATAAATTTAGACACTAATAATTTAAATAATTTAATAATAATCTCCTATTACTCCTTTATTTGAGAGTGAAAAATAAAAAATTTAACTTGTGTAACATGCAAATAAGGTAGATTTAAGAGATAATAAAATATCGTATTTTATTATGCAACTTAAAATTTAAAAAAAAAATTATAAATCTAGACAAAACTTAAATTTAAAATTGAAAATATTAGGGTACTTCCATCTTAATTACCACTAAATCAAAACTTTATAAAGAGTTTTATTTGTAATTGATCATTAAATATATAAGAAATATAAAGTCGAAAGCTCGCAAATAGAGTAATGGCCTACGTTGCCGTGGTTTCGGGTTCTGAGAAATACTATTATGATAAAAATGAAAAAACAGAAGAGAATTTTGTCATGTAATCAGATTTTGTATCGTTAGGAGTAAAGACCTAGGTGGCGTCACATGGAGATTTCCTTAAGACTATCAATTTTAATTCTACTTTTATTAA